AATAGTTCTAATAAATTATTCCTAAAGAAAGTACATTTTGTTGTTAACTCCTTGTAGTTACACCCTCCTGTAAGCCTAGCAACCACCTGTCTGTTCTACATTGGTATAATTTTGTCATTTTGAGAATTAGAAGTGTAATTATTTAATCTTTTACCTTTTTGGATTTTTTTCATTGAGCAGAATGCTCTGAAATCTCTCCAAGTTGCGTGTGCCCGTACTTTGTGTTTTAAAATTCTTCAGTTATGTTGGTATAGTGTGGATGTACCATCGTGTGTTTAACCAGAACATTGAGTTTTTTTTCTTTAATGTAAGTTTAAAAAAAATCACAAAAAGGGATCAAAACCAGAGCAACAGCTGACATTTATTGAGTGCTTATTATGCGCTAGGTGTTGTACTAAGTGGTCTACTGCATTACTTTTTGTAAAAAACTAAAGCTGTATATTTTTCATTTTTAATTGTGGTAAATTTATGTGACATAAAATTGAACATCTAACCATTTTTAACTATATAGTTTAGTAACGTTAAGTAAATTGACATTGTTGTACAGCCAATCTCCAGAACTCTTCCCTCATCCTGCAAAGTCAAAACTATACAGCTCTGCTTTCTCCCTAGCCCCTGACAATCCACCGTTCTTGATGTTTCTGTGACTACTCTAGGTACTCACCTAAGTGGAATCATATGGTATTTGTCTTTTTCAACTGGCTTATTTTACTTAACATAATGTCCTCAAGGTTCATCTACATAGCATCTGTCAGAATTTCCTTCCTTTTTAAGGCTGCATAATATTCCATTGTATGTGTATACCACATTTTCTTTATCCATTTATCCATTGATGGATGTTTAGGTTGCTTCTACATCTTGGTTATTATCTCTCCAAGATTCTGTCTTTATTTCTTCTGGATATCCACCCAGAAGTGGGATTGCTGGATCAAAACTTCTATGTTTAATTTTTTGAGGGACCTACCCACTGTTTTCCATAGCAGCTGCACCATTTTATATTCCCACCGACAGTGTACAGAGATTCCAATTTCTTCATGTCCTTGCCAACACTTGTTATTTTGTGTTTTTTTTTCTTCTTGAAATCATCATTCTTAGGTTGAATATATCTTTGGGTTTTTTTTTTGATAATGGATGTGAGGTGATATTGTTTTGATTTGCATATCCCTAATGATTAGTGATATTGAGCCTATTTTCATATGCTTCTTTGCCATTTGTATATCTTTTCTGTTGTTGTTTGCGACAGAATCTTACTCTGTAACCCAGGCTGGAGTGCAGTGTTGTGACCTTGGCTCACTGCAATCTCTGCTTCCTGGGTTCAAGCAATCCTGCCTCAGCCTCCCAAGTAGCTGGGATTACAGGCACCCACAACCATGCCAGAATAACTTTTGTATTTTTAGTAGAGATGGAGTTTTGCCATATTGTCCTGGCTAGTCTTGAATTCATGACCGTGGGTAACCCCCCATATAGGTACTGAGGAATGAGAGCTAAGCAGAACCCTGGCACAGTTAGGGCTTGAGGAATATCTTACTTTATAGTGTTACTACTCAGCTATTTCCTTTTATGTAATCCTTTACACAATCATATATTAGTTTATAGAATTAGGGTTGATGAATCCCTTTATACAATCCTCTCTATATAATCATGTAATAGTTGATAGTATGAGTGCCTAAAGAATATTTCCCTACACATATACCTATAATTATATCTTAGTTCATAATCGGAGGAATGCCTAGAGTGGACACAGTACAGAGCATGAATTAAGGAATAAGCAGCTTATAATCAGAGGAATGCCTAGAGCAGACACAGTGCAGAGCATGATTTAAGGGAAAACAGTTATGCCAGGACAGGAATCCATGGCCCAGGCGGCAGCGTTCAGTATTGTAAAGATACCCGCTGTATGGCAGGCTTGGGGCGAGAGCCACTCCTCCTGATAAAGGAGTTCTAGGACCTTGCTCCAGTTCTTGTGGAAGGCCGCCCTCAGACCGGCAATCCACCTTGGTAACTGTGAACTCTATCAGCTCTTGCTACTGTGCTGCTTGAAAAGCATCTTCCCATAGAACCCACTGGAAGCTGCCAGCAGGTGGCGGTAACCCTGACAGCTCTGTCACTGCTGTGTGACTTAAAGCATCCTCCTATAAATCTTCTTAGAAGTAGTTTGTCCATAGATAGAAGTGTTGCACACTGCACCCTCCTTACTGAGCACGACCCACTTTCAACCTTGGTGACCTAATGGGGGTGGACCCCTTACTGCGCACGGCCCTTGCCTTCATGGGAATGGGCCCCTTGCTGTGCACTGTCCACCTCCTGGCCTAGGTGACCTAATGGGGGTGGGCCCCATGTTTTATTGCTCATGACCCTATCACTATCCTTAAAGATGATTTCACTCACTGCCCTCCCTGCCCCCTAACCTATACACAATAAATACTTACACTTCTGGACATTCGAGGCCTCGCCTGACTCTGCTCATAGGTGGCATGGCCCCCTGAGCCCTGCTTCGTTTTCCTTGTATTTCTGTGTCCTGTCTCTTTATTTCTCGGATCCTGAGCCTCAGCACAGCATAAGGCTCACCCCACGACCCTGTGGGGCCATCATCCCTACATGTGACCTCAGGTGATCAACCCTGCTTGGCCTCCCAAAGTGCTGGGATTACAAGTATGAGCCACTGTACCCAGCTCATTTGTATATCTTCTTTGGATAAGTGTCTATTCAGGTTCTTTTGCACATTTTTTAATTGGATGGTTTGTTTTTGTTGTTGTTGAGTTGTAGGAGTTCTTTATGTAGCCTGGATGTTAATTCCTTATCATATATAGGACTTGCACATGTTTTTCCCAGTTCTGTAGGGAACTGCATTCTTGCTCTTACCTTTATTTTGTAAGTGAGGAAGGTGAAGTACAGAGACGTTCAGTAACTTCTAGCTCTCTTCCCCTGCTTGCATGGTTATTATGTGGTGGAGCAGGAATTCAAACTCACACAGGTTGCCTCCAGAGTTAGTACTTTCCCACCGCATTATCTGCAGTCAATTTCTTGGCCAACTTTGTATCAAAACAAGTGGCCTTGGTTTCTATGATTAGCCCATGTGGAAGGCTTGCTTTAAGAGGCAGGTTGATCTACATTTTAAAAAAGTGCAGCTAATCCTAATGATGTGCAGACTCTGTATCATTTGTGAATTTGCCTACTTGCTAAAATTTATTTGTAACTCCCAGATCAGTGCTCACAATGCTTTTCTGGTTATTTGTGGCCAAGTGCGAAGGAGTAAAAATTGAGCCACCTGATGCACATGTTCCCAGCTGATGTTAAACAACTGCTTTCTTGTTTTGGTTTTCATACTGTAAACAAGTGTTCTTTCATGGTCTACAGTATTTAGTGTCATGTTTTCCCCCACATTTTGGTAGGCATTTTGTTGGCAGGAGTGTGGTGATTTCACTGTTTAAAATAGTCTGCAAATGTAATGCTGAAGTGCTAATGTTCCTAAATGCATGAAGGCTGTGATGTATCTTCTAAAGAACAGACAGATGGTCCCTGACTTAGAATCGTTTGACTTACAGTTTTTCAACTTTAGGAGGTTGTGAGAGTGATACACATTCTATAGAAACCATACTTTGAATTTTGAATTTTGAGCTTTTCTCAGGTATATTAAATGCATTTTCTTGGGTATATTAAATGCATTTTAAGTATTTTCAATTTATGACCAGTCTATTGGGATGTAACCCCATCATAAATTGAAAAGCATCTGTACATGTAATTTGATAAGTTTAGTTCAAACTGAGTTCTAGTGCTGGTGGCCATAATTTCCATGGTAATGAATCAGCAATACATATTCAATAAGGTATCTTTAAATATAAACAAAGAAAAAACTACATTATGTATTGATTGGCTGAAGAAGGTGTTGTTACTAGAAGCTTGCGGGAATCTAACCCTGTGTTTCTCCTAGGAGCAATGGCTCAGTATTTGCTGATTCATTGTTTGCAGTGGTCTTATAAAACATAACTTTTGTGAATAAGGAGATTTGACTGCATTTCCTAACTACTGTTTAAATCAGTGTAACATGAAGGAAAGCCTCATTTGCATTAAATAAAAGAACTGTTGTAGAATCCCAGGGCATGCGATGCTGTGTTGTAATTCAGAAGTCCCAAGTGCTTTCACGTCTGCCATATCAGCAAGTCAGTGGTAGGTAGGGCTGGTGTATGTGCATTCTAAACAAGAAATCACAGTAAGGAGAGGTTATGTGGGCTGTCCAAGGACACACAGATAGTGGTATAAATGGACCTGAAGCCCAATTCTCCTGATTCTTTTTGATATGAATTTCCCGCTTCTATCTTGCCTTTCTGTAACTGGAATAGCAAGAAGAAGTGAATGCTTTTTGAGTACATACAACGTACCAGTTCCAGAGCTAGTCACTGATGCATTGGATCACGTTTGTCTCAGCAACTCTTTGTAATAGGACATGTAGTTGGCCCCCCAGTTTCACATCCATGGATTCAACCAAGTGCAGATTGAAACCTGTGGATATGGAAGGCTGACTGTACTAGGTCTACTAGGTCATTACACATAATAAGGGACTTGAGCATCAGGGGATTTTTCATCTGTGGGGTCTTGGAACCAATCTTCCACAGGTACAAAGGGCCAACTGTAGTGCAGTCTCACCAATGGCTAGACTGAAAGGAAGTCGGGTGTTTCACTGAGGACTTATGTATAAAATAGTGCTGATGAAATGTGAATCTTGATTACTTTCTGCAGTTCCATCCTAAATGTCTCAGAAGAGAGAATTAGCACAAGATAAATGTCTACTTTCTAAGCCCAGTTTACTAATGGTGTTGCAAAATACCTGATTAATGCTTCCAGCCATTTGGATTTGTGGTTTCATATATGTGTACAAAATATTAAAAGAGTTAATATAGAAATGTTCTTCTCAAATCTTTCCAAGTTTAATTTGCTGTGCCTTAAGACATAATTATTAATTCATAGTGTGAAGTGGATTATTATAAATGTTTTCTTTTTAGAGTGAAAGAAGATGTCTTTATTTAAAGCCCGTAATTGGTGGTCGACTATTCTAGGAGAAAAAGAAGAATTTGATCATGGCTGTTTGTGTTTGGCTAACGTTGACAATAGTGGAAATGGACAAGGTAAGCAACTTATAACCATGTGCCTTGAATCAAAGCTTTAAAGAGATCAAATTAAGCCAGGTGCCGTGGCTCACACCTGTAACCCCAGCCCTTTGGGAGGCTGAGGTAGGAGATCGCTTGAACCCAGAAGGTGGAGGTTGCAGTGAGCTGAGATCATGCCACTGCACTCCAGCCTGGGAGACAGAGTGAGACTCCATTTCAAAAAAAAAAGAGAGATCAAATAAAAATGACTTGCTTTTCAAAATATGTACTTTTTAGAACTTAATCGAACTATCATAATTGTACCTAATTTTTTTTTTTGGTTGAGTATGACTATTTCTTTCTTTGTAGTACAGAAAAGATAAGTCTGTAGAAAAAGAAGAAAGACAACTGGGTAGAAAATGTATTTCAAATATCTAACCCAAATCTTCAACAGATTTTCCATCTTAAGTATTCCAAAAGGTATACCATTGTATTAGACTAAATGTGGGTTCACTTATCACCTAAACTTTTTTAAGCTAAAAAATCTCAAACAATTAACATTTGGGAAGAAAAACAAGACTGGTATAAAGTCAACAAAACATTTCAACTTTCTAAACTGTATGCACTGGACTAATTTTTCGATATTAGAATATCTCCACATTTGAATTTGGATAATGCACAGTGATAAATACTGGATTAAAACATTTGACATCGAACATATGCAAGACTAATGGCTAGTAGGAAAAACGCTAGAACGGAGAGAGAAAAGTTGCAAGTGCCAAAGCGTTTAAACGCCCTTTCAAATATCCCAAGATGCTAAATTAAGGACAAAAGGATTAGGGTTCCAAGAATACAAACTTTCCTCTTTCAAGGCAACTGAATATTGAATCTCATTGAGATTATGAAATAAACATGCACTTAACTCCTGTTTGGCTTTCTGAACTTCACCACAGTGAACAACCCATTCTTTTTCCTTGTTTACACCAAAGGCTCGTTTTGAACACAACTCGAAATGGAATTCCAGGCCCCAAAACTCACTTTCACCCCCACAGGCAGCTACTTAACAGATAATAAGGAATTCAAGTGCAGGACCTGAAGGGCTTATTTCCATGCTAATTTCACAATCCTCGTTTCTTTCCCAGATACAAAAATTAAGATTTAAAAGGTGGTGGGAGTGGGGAACTTGGGGGTTGGTCTGAGAAAAAAGTGAATTTCCCAAGAATTCCTAAATGGTTTTGCTTCAAATATTAAAACTGTCAGTTATCATAGAATTTAACAACCGCTGAAACTTGCATTTGAAAAATTACTATGTTTCACTTTGTTTCAACAGCTCAAAGTTGCATATGAAACGATTACTATGTTTCACTTTCTTTTTTCCTGGGGGCAGGGGATGGTGTCTAACCTACTCTTAAAATTTAACATACTGACAGGTTCCCCTCCGCCCACACTGAGGTTTCTTATCCCCCATTAATGCATTCAGTCATATGGCATTTCTTTCTCATCAAAGGCCATCGGGAATGGTTTCAGGAAACTGATTTTCAAGCACTGGGGTCTTTAAGCGGCAGCGCCCGGACAGATCATGGAGAGGAGATGGGCAAGACGCAGGGAAGCGCATTCCTTCTAAACCAAGCGCCAGAACCGCCCTCCCGAAGCGCCCCGGGGCTTAGAGCATCACCTCGCTGTAATCCCGGCCGGGGGCGGCGCGGGGTGGGATGCGGCTGGACCCGGGCATTGGGTGATCCACTCCGCGACGCTGGGGCCGGGGTCAGCGCGCAGCCCCTCCGCGTCCCTTCTCCCCCAGCTACCCCTCCAGCCCGCTGCCTCTGGCCGCAGCATCTCCAAGCACACGTGAGGCGGCCGCAGGGACTGGGCCGAGGCGCCGCAGAACCCACCGAAACTTCCCAGGGGCGCCAGTTCAAAAATCGCCGGTCCCGCCGCGGCCGCGCGCCCCTCGGCGGGCTCCCCTCTGCGCGCCCGAAGCCCCCGTCTCCCCCTCCCTCAGGACCCCCCAGCGCCCCGCGTGGCGGGAACACGCCGCCAGGTGCCTCCCGGCCTCGGGGGCCGCCGTCTCACGACCGCTCCCGCGGGGGCCCCACTCCGCCAATCGCCGCGGCCTCGCGCCCCGGCGCACACTCACCAGCCCGAGCCGGGGCGGCCATCTTCAATTGTACCTAATTTTGAAGGTAGTTTTTAAAATAAGTAATATTTAGGTAGCAGACCGATAACTATAGTCCTTCTGTTTTATGTTCTGGTTTGTATTGATTCTGTCATATATTTTTCTGGAATTTATTAAAAATTATATGACATCACTTCACTTAGTAGGTGCTCAGAGGAGTTCAGTACCTCGCACTGTTGGGCTTCACCAGTGTAATTTTCTCTTTTCACATTTTCCTGCCTCAGAATTTGCTCTTGTAGGGGAGAGTTAGGAAAATATTTTGAATTTTGAAAAATTTCCTTTTGTAGAAATTCTTTACAAGAAAATAATTTTTAAATTGGACCTGGAAATCATTCATACCATAATGAAATTATACTAGCTCTATTTGGTGGTAGAAAACAGTTGCTAAATCACTGCTTTCATTATCATATACTGAAACTTCCATCCTACCTTGTTTTTATGCATCTTTATGTTTTTTAGGTCACCTTTAAAACAGTTTAATTCTATGTTATTGTATCATTGCTACTTGAAATTTGTATTTGGTTTATAGTTATGGGCTTAAAAATTTTTTTTGTAATCCAGATAGTCATTAGCCTCTTAAAAAGAAAACTTATAACTATTCATTTATTTGCTGAATATAAATATTATCCCCTTATATTTAAAAAAAATCATTTTTCTTGCATATAATAAGAGCAGTGGGATCTGCAGGGAAATGTGAAAAGAGAAAACTATGCTGGCGAAGCAGAGCAGTGGGAGGCGCTGAACTCCTTAGAGCACCTACTAAGTTGTTTTGAAGGAAAATTTGGTCCCTGATAGGAGATGGGTAGATCTTTTTTATTCAGAGAGTATTGAGAGGTTCCTCAACCCTGCCTCTGCCCTCCTGTTTGTTAAAGCTTGTGATTCCCCAATTATTTGGCCACGTAAGAGTCATGCCAAAGAAATACCTGCCAGAGACAATTTCAAACTCAATTCTGCCCAAACTATCTAAAGTTTAGCTTGGTTAGAAACTATCCTTCTGATTATCTGCATAACATACTGTTGACTCATTCATTTCTATTAGAGTTCCTTACTGGGGTGCCACCGTGCTACCAGTAGGTTACCAATATGCTGAGATACTGCTTCCCTCACAGTTTGTGGTGAGCTGTGAGCAGCTTCCTCTGTTTTCCGAAGCTTGCTATACAGAAATCATTACATATGTATGTTCCACATAGAAAAAAACACTGATCATTGTGTTCCGAAGCCTGGATACCTGGGTCATACTATCCTGGGGTGATTATTATATATCAAGCTTTTGTATCCCAGACACACGAGATGTTATAAGATTGTATTTTCTGGGGGTAGGTGGGTGGTGTGACTTAGGTATCCTCATTTTTGACAAGTTCCGGAATTGAATGCTGGCATTCTTTGAGAATTATTAATGTCGATCTTATAGAATGGAAGGACCAAGAGCAGTTCTGGATGTGCTCTGTTTAAGACAGGAATGTCTAGTATACAGAATAGAGGTAGAGATTTTGGGATGGACAATGTGGTGTTTGTATTTGGAGCTCTGTGAATAGGTGAAAATGCACAAGGAGAGAAGCTGAAATAAGAGGGGAAAGGTGTAGGACTGTAACCTTGAGAATGGGGGAAGTGTGGGAAGAGTAATAGATTCTGAAAACGGGAGGCAGAGAGGCAGGAAAACTACTTAGGCTGGTACCTGGGAAGCAAGGTTTAGTGATATGAGGACCGATTTTTTTTTTTTTTTTTTTTTTTTTAAGACAGAGTCTTGATCTGTGGCCCAGGTTGGAGTGCAGTGGTGCCATCTCGGCTCACTGCAACCTCTGCCTCCCGGGTTCAAGCAATTATCCTGACTTAGCCTCCCAAGTAGCTGAGATTACACGTGCCTGCCATTATGTCAGGCTAATTTTTGTATTTTTAGTAGAGACAAGGTTTTGCCATGTTGGCCAGGCTGTTCTTGAACTTCTGACCTAGGTGATGCACCTGCCTTGGCCTCCCAAAGTGCTGGTATTACTGGTGTGAGCCACTGTGCCCAACCTTTTTTTTTTTTTTTAATTGTGACAGGGTCTGACTCTGCTGCCCAGGATGGAGTGCAGTTGTGTGATCATGGCTCACTGCAGCCTCAACCTCCCAGGTGTGCTTCACCATGTCTGGCTAATTTTTAATTTTTTTGTTTTTATAGAGACAGTGTCTCCTTGTGTTGCCCAGGCTGGTCTTGAACTCCTGGGCTCAAGTCATCTTTCTGCCTTGGCCTCCCAAAGTGCTGGGATTACAGGCATGAGCCACCAAGCCTGGCCTAAAAGTTTTCATGCTCTTGAGCAGCAAGTGGTTCATTAGTGTCTGTGACAAGAGTGCATGTGCGGGCACAATGGTAATGAGATCTACATTTTCAATGAATGGATGGGGAGTGAGTGGGAGGCGGGGAGACTATTTATGACTCTTTAAAGAAACTTAGCTGTGAATCAAAGAAGAGAGGATGATGATTTGGAGGCCATGTAGGGTCAAGGGAAGTGGGAAAAATTCAGTGTGTAGGATAGAGGCTTTCATCGATGGAGCAGGGGCTCAGAGGGGACAGTCAGAGATGAGATCAGGTGTGCAGATGGAAGATTAATCTTGAACAGGTGTGGGAACCTTTTTCCATAGTGACAGAGGAAAGAAGGTACAGATGTATATAGAGGTAGAGAAATTTGCAGGTCAAGCTGGGAAGTTGAAACATTAATGTCAGTTGACCTCTCCTTTTTTTTTTTAGGTGATGAGAAAGTGAGAGAAGGGTTATAGCATCCTGAAATTTCTTTAGAAGAAGCCGAGTGAAAACACAGGATTCCTTGCTAATCTTGATAGTACAATGGAAATTGAATACCCCATGCATTTAAAGTGGTACTTACTTTCCTGATTTTCTCAACTCAAGATTCAGACTCTTGAGAGAGGTAGTGAGAGTGAGGGAAAGAGAGAGGATCTTAATAATCCAATTTAGATTACATGCCAACCTGTGGCCTGGAGGGAAAGTTTATTACTAGAGTTGGAGTAGAAAGCAAATAAGATTGACTAATGGCTTTTCATTCAATGCCTGCATGTTCATTAATTCCTGGGAAATCCCATATTATTAGTCATAGCTTGAAATCTATGAGGGTCAGACTTATCTGAGATCTGGTTACTATAAAATTCCTGAAAGTGTTTTAATAATTATACATTTTGCTTCAGTGGGTTAGCTTGTTACCATGTGGCCTTGGCCATCCTGACCTCCTCTTATCCCTGAAGATAGGGCTGCATTGAGTTACCCATGAATCTTGGTTATTTAGTGAGTAAAAGTGGGGATTTAGGGCACAAGATACGTGGAAAGCTCAGTGGAGAATGTTGTAGGAAGGTTTAAAGGTTTAAGTCTTCTCTACCCCTTCTGGACTCCATTACAACGGTACAGTTTTATTCTTTCTGATCAATGCCTGGAGAGAAACCTGGAGAGATTTGTCAGGTCATTTGTTACTGTAATTTAAAATGTAATTTACCACTATCTGAGTAGTAAGTGGTGAGAAATGTTACTGCAGAGTACCAAAGACTCTGAGTTTTATTCTCTACCTTTGGATGATAATTTTGAGATTAAACCTATCATGCTTTTAAATTATCCAGTGCCTTTCAACATGTGGTTTGGTGTTCCTTGTTCAGTTGGCCTATGGCAGCTGCTGTCCGGTCCACTAGAGTTTCACCTGCAATGGGCACAGGGTCCCAGGTAGCTAGAGATGATAACTTGATTAATTGTTCTGTTACAGTGTATGCTTAACCCCACCTAGAATATGAATGGGAGTGTTCTGTGAAAGGACGTATATGCAAAGTGGCCCCTGAGAACCAAAGACTGAGGCAGACAAATCCAGTTTGTCAGTATATGGTGATTTACTAGGTAAACTTATGGGCAGGAATGTAGTCTTGGGCAGTTGCAAGATGGGTAGATCTCCACACCACAACCCCCAGACCCAGGGCTTGTATCTTGGGGAAAATAGTATATGTGCTCTTGAAGGAATGTGTAGGTGGCTATGAATGTCACAGCCTATGATATATGTGGAACCTCAAGTGCTGTTTTGGAGGAAAGGCAAAACTTAAAGGAATAGGTGTTTCTACATAAAGAGTAATACATCAACTAGAAATCTTGGAGGAGTTCTTGAAGTTATTCAGGAGTCACATGGCAGATTAGCATTTAAAATAAAGTTGCTCTTGTCCCCACAAGGAATCTTACTGTTTTGTACCCCATTTCATGTCAAGAACAAATTCCCATACTTTGGAGGCCAAGGCAGGTGGATTGCTTGAGGCCAGGAGTTTGAGACCAGCCTGGACAACATGGCATAACCACATCCTTACAAAAAATACAAAAATTAGCTGGGCATGGTGGCACATGCCTGTATTCCCATCTACTCAGGAGGCTGAGCTGGAAGGTTGAGGATGCAGTGAGCCGTGATTGCATCACTGCACTCAAGCCTGGGCAACAGAGTGAGACCCTGTCTCAAAGGAAAGAAAAATAACCAATTCTAAATATGCTTGCATGTTTTCATGCCTGCAGTTTATTTTCTGGTGCTTATTTTTATATCAGTTATCTTTTTTTGACCGCAAGTGACAGGAAACTGTGATAAATTTAAGTACAGAAGATACTGGAATAAGATAGGTACTGGGTAAGATAGCTTTCCCAAATGGAGGCAGAGTTGAACTGAACAACCCTTTAGTGGGGACAGGAATGGGCATGGCTCCAGAGACCTTGTAAGCCTCCAGGAGGCTGTCATTAGCTCCTCTAGCACTGGAGTCCCATGATCTATGTGTCTCCATTCAGTATGGAAGTTCCCAGGTTGTACCTCTCTCATAGGGTTATTAGGAGGATTTTTTTTTCAGTGACAAAGTCTTGTTCTATCACCCCAGGCTAGAGTACAGTGGCATGATTACAGCTCACTGCAGCCTGGAACTCCTTGGCTCAAGCGATCCTTCCACCTCAGCCTCTCAAGTAGCCGGGACTGCAGGGGCGTGCCACTGCATGCAGCGTCGCATGGCATTCCCTCCACGTCTCTGTTTTCTCATCTTAAAGAACACTAATCGAGTTCGATCACACACCTAAGTAACTGTGACCTCATTTTAGCTTGATTACATCTGCAAAGACTCTGTTTCCAAATCCGGTCACATTCAGAGGTGCATGGAGTTATGACTTTACATATCCTTTGTCAGGGGGATACAATTTAACTTATAACACCCATTCTATCATTTCCCCTTCTTATACTTAAGGTAAAACATTGATAATCAAGGCACTCTATCTAGTGAGGACTCAGAATCCTTTGTAATTCAGAGTTTTTGATAGTTACAACCGGTTATAGAGTTGGCCTCTGTGATGGAATCGGTTTATGACATTGTACTAGTCCTTTGATTGAGTTAAATTATGACTTTGATACCAAATAAAGGCTTAGGAAAAAATGCAGTATGTTAGTACATTTGACTGTAGTGATGTAAAACTATTTATGAGAAATAAAACTGTGTGTTATTGAAACAAATACACTTTAATTACATCTTCTTTGGAAGAGTGGCCTTTGTATATAAAGCAAGACTGAATTTTTTTAATTTTTAGATTTCTCCTTTAGACATTAGAAAGCTTATTTCCTAAGAGATTTGCTAATGCATGTTTCTTCTTATATCTTTTTAAAAAACATCTCTCTACAGATAAGATAATTGTGGGTAGCTTTATGGGATACCTCAGGATCTTTAGCCCCCATCCTACAAAAACAGGAGATGGAGCTCAAGCTGCAGATATGCTTCTAGAAGTGGATCTACGAGATCCGGTGCTTCAAGTGGAAGTAGGAAAGTTTGTTTCGTAAGTAAGCCCACTAAAATGGTATTTTACTTGGAGTATGTCAATCCTTTACTGTGTCACTTTTGTGAATTCTTCAAAGAAGACTATCCATGAATTAACTCTATTTTCTGGATGTTGTCACCTGAGCGTTTCTCATGTATGGGATGCTTTTTATGTGGATACCATACATTTAAGATAGAATAATTTAGGGCCTTTTTATAGTAGTAGACTTAAGATGTCTGACATTAGCAGAAGCTTAAAGACAAAGAGATAAGCTTTTAAAAATAACCAAATAAAGAAATAAATAAGAAGTATCTACTTATTTAAAGTTATATAAGTGTCTGTTTATAATTAGATGAAGTAGCAGACAACCATTACTTTCTGGCGAATAGCTTTGAGGTTTTATAATGAGTACTTATTTAGGGTAGAGAGGCCCTGTCGTTTCTTGGAAAACGTCAGTTCAGCCCACAAAGTAAGTCTTCCCCTTACAAGAGCTTTGTTCAAAAATTGTTTCTTCTTAAACTTCATTTATTTTAGAAAACTGTTTATTAGTTTGAACTTTGGGTAATATGTCTGCTTTTTATTTATTGATGATATTGCTGATCTTTTTTTTTTTTTGAGATGGGGTCTCGCTCTGTCACCCAGGCTGGAGTGCAGTGGCCCTATTTCAGCTCATTGCAGCCTCCGCCTCCTGGGTTCCAACTGATTCTTCTGCCTCAGCCTCCTGAGTAGCTGGGATTACTGGCGCACTCCACCACACCCAGCTAATTTTTGTAATTTTAGTAGATACAGGGTTTTACCATGTTGGTCAGGCTGGTCTCAAACTCCTGACCTCGTGATCCTCCCACCTCGGCTTCCCAAAGTGCTGGGATTACAGGTGTGAAGCACTGCGCCCTGCCGATCCTCTTATTTTCATATACTAACTTGCTTAAAATTAAACTTGTGTTTCTTAATCATTTAAAAGTGTGATGAAAACTTATCAAGTAGCCAGAGTTGGTTTGCCTCCTCTTTTTGAGCTCCCTTTTGCCTTTTTAAATCTGGGCAGTACCCTAAGCTCTGGATTTCGGCATACTGTATTTGTTTATTATGATTTATTGCCCCCAGGGGCCATTTAGTCAGGGCCCTAACTCCTGCTTGAAAACCAAACAACCACTCATGAGCATTCACCCTCTTCCAGTGATATGTTTCAATTTGCTGGGAAGCTGTAGCTTGGATGCTTTAGGCCAGAGCGTGAGATGATACTTGTATGCTTTGTGACAGGCTGGATTGCGGAGATTTTTTGACTGATGTGGTTGGTAAATATCTACTCCCTCTAAAAGCAGATGATGATTAGGTGCCCATCATGTACCTAGGACATATTAGATGTGATGGATTTACAAAGTAAGGAGACAAAAGCATTCTTCCCTCTAAAAAGTGTTTTTACCTTAGCGTTATAAGAGGTGGAACAACCAGAACAAGCATTCTGTAGAGTAGCTTTTAAGCTCAGCCCTCAACTATGTGATCACATTGGAAGGGGAGGAAGTTAACTTAATAACTAAATACTGTACTAGGCCTTTATAAATATTGTCTCAATAATCTTATAAGGCAGATATTATCTGAATTTAGAGATAAGGAAACTAGAGCTCAGAGTATAAGGTCACACAGCCAAGATTCAGTCCCAGGTCTCTCTGACTTTATACTTTACTGTCTTTCTATGACATTATGCTCTTTTCCTGAGCATGGTAGAAAAGTTGTTTTGAATGTTCAGGGTACATATACAAAATTTCCAAAGGCAGTATTGATCATTTGATATATATATTTGCATTTTCTAGTAGAAGAGCAAATGATGCATATATATTAATTGTAACAATGTTTTGCAGATGATATCTAATACAATTTTTTGTAAATAAGATACTAACACTCTGAAACTTTAAGTGATTGTACATATAGTAAGATGTACAGTCAGAACCCCCATCTAGGTCTGCAGACTTCAATTACAGTCCTTGCAGTTTAGAACAGAGTCTGTATCAGGGGTTGTACACTGGAGGCCTACTTGTACATGTGAGCCTTCTCAGTGTTTTATTTTTTGAGACGAAGTTTCACTCTTGTCACCCCGACTGGAGCACAATGGCGTGATCTCAGCTCACTACAACCTCTGCCTCCCTGGCTCAAGCGATTCTCCTGCCTCAGCCTCCCAAGTAGCTGGGACTACAGGCACCTGCCACCATGCCTGGCTAATTTTTCTATTTTTAGTAGAGACAGGGTTTTACCATATTGGCCAGGCTGCTCTTAAATTCCTGACCTCAGGAGATCCACCCTCTCAGCCTCCCAGAGTGCTGGGGTTTCAGGCACCAGCCACTCCACCTGGCCGCCTGCTCAGTATTTCAAATTTAAAAGTGCTGTCAAGCATTTAAGAACTAAGAGAGTTCACATAAAACCCCCGCTTTTTGGCTTTTCTTGAAAAATGTGGGGTTCTGGCCGCAAGCCCAGAACCAAGTAGTAGCCACCTTCTTTAGTCTGGTCTGTCTCCAGTTAACCACAGCTGTTTACAGCCTGTGTTCATTCATACCCCCTGGCTTGACCCTTGAAAACTGAATTTAGGATCTCTCGACTGTGCTTGCTACTGTTTCTAGAAACCACTTGAGATGCGGGTGGGAATTGTAGTGGTGATATTGGTAGTTTATTTCTATTTGAGATTTAGTCCAAACAGAAATATTTTCAATATTTTAATAAAATTTCAGGGATGGAAGTGATATATGCTACTTCTAATAATGATTGGTGTATTGTGATGCTTTCACATTATTTCATTTCATTGGACCTCTTATTTTTCATGAGAAATAGACTCAGGGAGATTTACGTGACTTGTCCAGAGTCACAGGTGAATTAGTCAGAAAGCCAGGACTAGAAGTTGGATTTATTTATTGAAAGAAATAGCGCTTACAGAGGGACCTCAGATCTGACTTTTTCCTGGAAGGTCTATTGGCTTCAATCTGAAGGCAGTGCCTTGAGGCAGAGTCTCAGATCTGGCTTTTTCCTGGAAGCTCTGTTGGCTTCAATCTGAAGGTAGTGCCTTGAGGCAGAGTACTTGAGCCCCTGGGGTTGTCAGATTGGCTGTTTACTGTTATATTTATTTTTCAGTTTGGAATGTTATCTAATGAATTGTTTTGTTTACTCATAGTGGGTGTGGTTATGAAATCTTTCTGAAATTATTTTACAACTTTTTGGTTACATCTAAAACTGATATTGGAAAACTTTAAAAACTTTCTCTGTTTTTCAGAGGTACTGAAATGCTGCATTTGGCTGTGTTACATTCTAGAAAACTTTGTGTCTACTCTGTCTCAGGTAAGAAACATTGTTTTCCAAAGTAGAATTTATATTACAAATCAGGCTTGATGTTATCTAGGAATAGATATTCCCTAATGCTGACTTGGTAGAGAACACGAAACATTTACTTGACTGTTTTCTTGTGTTGCTTAGCATTTTCCCATTTTTCATTTATTCTTTCAGGCTAATACATTTTCTTGGTCTGCTATTTTTGTGTATACGTATCTTTCTAGCAGAGGATTCCTCTTAATCACCTTCCTCTCCAGAATTGTTTCCAGGATTGCCTGTGACTGATAGATGCCAATTCTGGGTACTTAGGACGCATATGTCTTAAGAAATGTGCAGTAACAGAACTGATTAGACGCTGAGTCATAGTGGTTTGGAGTAGATTTTCTTTGGTGAGCCTCAGTATTTTCTCCCTACAGTTCAGTTTCTCAGTTTTTGGCTGTCTTCACTCAGATGGGGCTCAAGGCACTTATCCTGAGGCTTCATCAGGTTTCATTCTCTGACATGGTTCTGTGGGTACAAGTATAGTATGTGGTTTGGTTTTTATTAAAAATAGAGTATGTGGTTTGGCTTTTATTATATTTTATTTTGATCTTTATTAAATTTAAGATATAACTTAAAGAATTTTATTTCAGTTATTAGAAAAGTTTAGTTGAGTTGAGAGTTATTTTAATGGATGTCAGGATGGGGCATTTTTTCGGGTATGATCAAGCTGAGTCTGTGGGGCTGTTCCTTATGCCAGATCCTCTCCTTTGGAGCTGGCTGTAAACGTTAGCTTCTAGGACTTGAATTTCTCAGGCTTACTCTCTTGATTTGGGCTTTTTTTGTATTTTGCTTTCAATTTGAGTAATGATGCATATTTACTTCCTGAGCTGGATATTCTTAGGCAGTCTTCTTTCAGGGTGAAGATCTTTTAGATTTCCAAGGCAGGCCTGGTAACCTGGAGTAGAATGTGGTAGACGTCCAGTAAATACTGGTTGAATGAGTGAGTGAACACATTTCTGGGTAGGGCTGAGGCGATTGACAGTGCCTTTCTTTATTACTCTTCATCATGTGCTGTTTTCACCCCCTTCTCTGTCACTGCCGTCATCTTATTTCCTACTCTGTTTATGTTAGAGGCCCGTAAAGTGTGCTCTCATTGATTTCGTGGGAAAGGACATGGTTCCATCTGTTCCCCTAGTGACGGGGCATTTAGTATGCTAGGCTGAATGGAGAAGGTATTGTCATACGATGTAGGCTGCTTTATTGCATGGATCTAGTTGTTGCTCTGTTTTTGACTGTAAGCCTGTTATTTTACTATGTGGGTTACACAAGCCATGGAGGAGAATTTGCCCACAGTTACAGTTAACCAGAATACGTCTTCGGAAATTAGTTCCTTCCGACAGCTCTGTGGGGGCTCTAAAGTGGGGCAGAGAATAGGGTGTCTTAGAAACCAGAAATCTGATTAGACACTAGGCCTTCAAGTCCTGCTTGAAGTGTGGGCCAGAAAGACAGAACCCTCTGGAGTTCCACTGGGGCTTAGAGCATAGACACAGGATAAAATGTGTACTTATCAAAGAAATATACTGAAAGAAACTGGCATATTAGGTGACAATTTGTTTATGGCACATTGGTATGCTCCTTCAAAATAAAAGTTGTTTGCTATAGGAATGGTGATTTTATTCCTCGTTATTCTTGTGTTCACTTAAAAGCTTTGTATTCAGTGGTGACTAGCAGTTGTCCAAACTACATTCTCTTATGCCCCACCTCCCTTCCCTTCTGTCTCTCATTTCTTCAGACTCTAATGATATTTGCGGGCTGACAATTTGTGTATTTTTCCTGGCTTGGCTTAAATTGAGAAGCATGGGAAGTTAATGTTTTCGTTCTCTTGAATATGTTTCTTGGAGTTCCAGACTGAACTTTTACCTAGCTTTTACTGTAACAGGGGAAGCACAAACACTTTCTAATTTAAGTGAAACCGCTAGTGTCAGCAGATGAATGTGTGAGCTGAACTTGACATCCTTTTCTTCAACTGCTCTCTTCTTACATATTTTTGTTTTTATAAAAGATTTGAGGCAAACTGGAGGAGACCTTCTAAGGTCAGTCTCCTGGACATACCTAACAACCCTGAACACTCAGAGGCAACTTTGCTAACTTCTTTGTGGTGGTTTATCTGTCATCAAACGTGCTTAACATAGAGAAAAAACAGGGTCTTGCTGACCTGCTGTTGGCCTATCTTATCATACTCTGGTAAAGAGAAAGCATCACATGGCATCTCAGATTTCTTTCTGATGGGCTTCACTTTCTGAATAAATGGTTACAGATGTGTGAGGGTAAGCCATACTGATTATGTTGTTTTAAATATTCTTTTCCAAAAAAATGTGCACTTCTCAAGAAGAATTTACGAAGCATCTGACACATTTATAGAATTGTAATGGTTTCCACAGGAGGGCAAAAGAGATGTGGTTCTTTACTTTGGACAGGCTTACGTAATCTAACTTGGTAGTTTAACACAGTGTACCTTTACTTAATCTGTAATGACTTTGAGTTTATTTAATATCCTTAGATTGCTCACCAGTTACCTAAAATTGCACCGAAAACTTGTCAAAGTGACCTTCTATTTTCCAGAGAATTTTTTGGTTTAAATCAGATCTTGTTTAAGTAAGGCTGGCCAAAGGCATAAATGTTTGAATATTAATGTATTTTCTAACTGATGAAATTTTATAATAATTTTATGTAGACTGTGATCATATATGCTCTATTCAGTCTGTATATCCCAGGGCAAACCCTATGTAAATAATTTTAATATTATGTCACTGATACTTTTTTAGGGAAAAATGACCAGAAATATTAGATTCCCAAATACTTCCTTTATTCCAAGGTAGTTATCTAAGGAAAATTATCTTTTTCTCCAGAGTTGCATTATTAAGTTTTAAAGTGCAGTTACCTGAAGTTTAAGATTTATCAGTGCGTTTGGAGCTTTTATACAAAGTCTGGTGTCATTTCATGCCAAGTTTGTTTAAATATTGGCTGCTGACGCCTATGTTCATTGACATGAGTTCCTAATGTTCCTGCTTGCATTTCGGCCAGCAGGTGTGTATTGATCTGCTTATTCAAAGGGATTGATCTGGTTGTAGATGTTGTAAAAAGAAAAATCTTAGTCAAATGAAATTTAACAGAGTTTAACTGAGCAAAGAATGATTTGTGGATTGGGCAGCCTCTTGAGTCAGAGTAGGCTCAGAGATACTTCAGCACAGCCATGTGGTAGAAGATTTATAGACAGAAAAAGGATAGTGACAGACAGAAAAAAGAAAGTGATGTATAGAAAATGGAATGAGCTACAGAAACAGCCAGATTAGTTACAGCTTGATGTTTACCTTATTTGAAATGGTTCGAACAGTTGGCCTCCTTTGATTGGCCAAAACTCAGTGATTGACACAAGCGTCAGTTACAGTCTGTTTATACCTCCATTTAGGTTACAGTTTCCTGTGTACAGAGAAACCTTTAGGCTCAACTTGAACTATGTGAGTAGGCAGCTTTAGTTTAAACTTGATACAGCAATTCTCCCCTTTTGGTCATCCTCTTAATTTTGAGAGATTGACCAAAACTAGTCATTGATGTCACTGTCACCATCGTAAATGTACTTATTTCATCTTAAAATCCACTGGGAAGTAGCAGAACAGTGGGTTTTGTAAGGTAGGAGCAAAGAATTCAGTTTTTTTTTGGTAAAGGTTAGAGTAGAGGGTACCTCCTTATGCTGGAATGTCCTGTTTGTAGGAGAAAAACAACCTTGTCTGTTCTAGGAGCTAGTGTTTCCTTAAGATCTTAGTTTGGTTATGTCACATTTAGCATGAGTGACTCCATTTTGGTTTAGTCATGTGTGTTGGGACCTAGTGCATGAGCTCAGTCCAAAACAATGGCCTTCCATAATTTTATTTGAAAATTTCCCCTTTTAGTCAGGCTCTCACTTATGTGAGAGTGTGACCAAAAGTTAGGGCCTTAGTCCCACTCTCAGTTACCATCAATTTTGGATTTCTAGCCTCAGCATGTCATTCATAGGTTACAGTGCCCTCATGGTCACACATCTTTTTAAGCTTTTGTCCTTCTAGTTGAAGAGAAATTATGTGGCATTCTAGAGATGGCTGCATGCAAACATTTCCAAATTTTTGACACTAGAGAGACTACTGTAATATCAGGATGATAATACCGAGAGTTTGGAGCATGCTCCTCAGCCAGGGTCCCCATGAACCAAACGAACTAAAATTAAAGAGATCAAAGAGTGAACTGGATAGAGTCTATTCACTTTAACTGAGCAGTCTCTTCATTAGTCCCTACAACTGAATATCTATACTATCTAATGTGATGCATTTCTCCATGGCCAGCAAGAAGTGCCAACAAGTGCACATGTACTGCTGTTTAATCAGTAAGTAATCCAGAGTAGTTCTAGTATTTAGCAAAGCTTTCAAAGTTAATTTAAAGTCTGTTGTGTGACTGTAACCTTTACAGTAGAATCTGATATAAAGCCTATCATGAGGGATAAATTTCTAATCATTACCTCGTTTACTTCAAACCATGGAAAAAGAGACCTAACAAATGATGCCTATTTAGAAGAATGAAGACTTCCTTAAAGTGTCATCTTTTATCTATGATGTCGGTTAAGAGGAGTGGGCCACTGTCCTGTTTCTGACTGAGTATGAGACAACAAATGTGTCATTAAACTTTACCTGAATCAGGCCTTCATCTTTTATTTATTGAGGCATAAGATTGTCCATGCATAAGGCTGGCTGTAAAATCCTTCACAAATAAAAGTATACCCTATGAATACACATAATAGATCCTCTTTTCACTTCTATTGTTCATAGAAACATAAGCAAGGGAAAAAAGTAGAAAGATAAAAGAGTCTCCTAACAGCAGAGAAGTCATGATCTGTGATCTTGGGCAAAAGCTGTCTACCTATGGATGCCATCTTCTCCTGGAGAGAGACCTTCCTGTTTAGCTTTACCTTAGGGTTTCCAATGGATGTAAGTTCCAAG